ATGAATTGTTTTTGATCTCTGCAGCCCCTGCTCCCATCAAAGCGCAGTGTGAGAATTTCAGAAGTGTTCCTTCTAGGGCCTTTGGCCCAAGCCTCTTTTCCTTAGCTAAACTTCGGCCTGTATATTGGTCACCTATGTGTCAAACTTGCTATGTCCCAAGTTGAACTTAGTATTTCCACTCCATTATTTTCCTGTGTCCCTATTTTTACATCCTGGCTACTAGCCTTGTTATTATGCTAGTCACCAAAGCTAGACACATCTGTTTTGAGACTCTCTCCCTCTATCTCCAGTTCTTCCAGTTTTACACCACAATTGCTTCTCATCCTCATCCTCTTGTCTGCTGCTCCTAGCCCTATTTGAGCTCAGCTCTCACTCTCTCTTGCTCAGATAATTGTCATTGTCTGGACTTCCAGCCTCCATCCTGCGCCTGAGTTGTTGGTGGAGACTGCATATCTTACAAGCTATGACTTTGCTTAATGTCGTCAAAATTTTCTACTGCCTAACGAATAAAGTCTGAACTCCTTAGGCCAGTATCTCAGGCCTTCTGTAAGCTGCCTCATGCCATCTCTTGAGTCTTTGGCCCGTCCCTTCTTCTTTTTCTCCAGACAGTCTGGGGTCTCAGCCTCAGCCCCACCAGACACACACTTTCGTGTTGTTTTTCCTTGTGCTGTTCTCTCTGTAACATGTTTCCTTTTGCAACAGTCTCTCCTCCTCCTCACCATTATACTCATCCTTGAAAGTCCATGTGACTAGAAACTGCCTGATGAATGAATTGTTTTTGATCTCTGCAGCCCCTGCTCCCATCAAAGCGCAGTGTGAGAATTTCAGAAGTGTTCCTTCCGGGGTTTCCCTGGTGGTCAAGTGGCTAAGACTCGACGCTCCCAGTGCAGCGAACCCAGATTCCATCCCTGGTCAGGGAACTAGATCCCATTAGCCACAACTAAAAGATCCTTCAAGGCTCAGCCAGATAAATAAATGTTTAAAAAAAAGTGTTCACTTCAAGTACAGCACAGAGGGGGATTCAAGTGAAGGATGGAGGCATGGTGGCTGATTTTTCAGGACATGGAAAGGTTCGAGCTACTTGCCTGCAGTGGGTTTTTCCTATCAACAGTGTATCTTTTATCCTGCAAATCCCTGAGGGGCTCAGCACCCAGAGACACCAAGAACCAAAGGGCAGGGCTCAGGAGTGGGCCCAAAGACGGGTGGATAGCTGAAATTCTGTAAATCGAGCAGTTGTCTTGGGTCCTTCCCCTGTCATCTGGGGACCCCCATCCCTCTGTTCTGTCCTGCCCTTCTCCTATTTCTCCATCCAACAGAAACCAGAGGCCTATTCTCCAGATGAACTGGATGGTGGTGATGTGTCAGGCCCTGGAAGGCTAGGCAAAGCGGAGGACAGAAGACAGACTTGTGCTGAGCTGTGGGGCTCTTCAGCCCTTTTCTCCTCTCTGACTCCAGAACAGCAGCAGGCAGACCTATACGCCCAGGCAGGCAGCTGGAGGGCTCTTTCTGGAGAGTACAAATAGCCTCTGGGAAGGCCTGGGCACTAACTTTCAGGGAACCAAAAATCTAATGATCTTCTGGTGGAACCCACAAGTCCCTGAAATCTCCATAGAAAACTTCCAGTCAGTGTTGCAGGACCTTGTCCCAGATATAAGGACAGCACAGGGCCATGAGTTATCTGAGGAAGGCTCCAAAGTGACAGAGAGGGCCCAAGACAAATGGAAACAGAAGACTCAGAGGGAAGGTGCCGACAATGCAGGAAGCTAAAACCAATAAGCCCTGTGATTACATCTTAAAAGATATGTGGGAAGATGATACATCCATGAAACAAGGACAGAACACAATGAAAAAATAGCCAGAGCACAGAATTTTGAAAAGAAAAGAAAACAGAATCAAATGAAATAAAGCAAATGGAATGAAATGATAGAACAGTTGGAAATTAAAATCAATAGAACAAAAGAGAGAGGAGAAAGGCTAAGGCTAAGCGGATAACTACTTCTCCACAGAAGTTCCAGAAATACAGACCAAAGGGGGAAGAGGACTGAAGAAACAGCACAGGAGAATTTCTCAGAAATGAAGAAAACAAGTGTCTGAATGATTGTATTTTAGGAAGATGGGAGGAGAGGTAGTGATGAGGATGTCAAAAGTTCATGTCTACAGCTGATTAATGAAAAGCTGCAAGAAGAATATTACCAAAAATTTGAAAGTGGCTATCAGAAGAATTTGCTAGAAGAGTTGACAGCCTTTGTTTTGGGGCAGTGGAATTGGGGAGAGGAATTAGAGAAACAAATCGCTGTTTGTTACTATTGCTTTTATTTGCAGCTCTAAGACTGACTATTTCGTGCCCTTATTAAGCTTGGGGCTCTACAGCATTGAACTTTACTCCATCACCAGTCACATTCACAACTGGGCCCTGTTTTCACTTTGGCTCTGTCCTTCAATTCTTTATGGAGTTATCTCTCCACTCTTCTCCAATAGCATACTGGGCACCTACCAACCTGGGGAGTTCATCTTTCAGTATCATATCTTTTTTGCCTTTTCATGCTGTTCATGGGGTTTTCAAGGCAAGAATACTGAAGTGGTTTGTCATTCCCCTCTCCAGTGGACCACATTTTGTCAGAACTTTCTACTATGACCTGTCCATCTTGGGTGGCCCTACACGGCTTGGCTCATAGTTTCATTGTATTAGACAAGGGTGTGGTCCATGTGATAAGTTTGATTAGTTTTCTGTGATTGTGGTTTTCATTCTGTCTGTCCTCTGATGAGATAAGAGGCTTACGGAAGCTTCCTGATGCGGAGAGACTGACTGGGGGGGAAACTGGGTCTTGTTCTGATAGGCAGGGCCGTGCTCAGTAAATCTTTTTTAAAATTGATTCTTTCAAACTGTGTGTTGGAGAAGACTCTTGAGAGTTCCTTGGACTGCAAGGAGATCCAACCAGTCCATCCTAAAGGAAATCACTCCTGAATATTAATTGGAAGGACTGACACTGAAGCTGAAACTCTAGTACTTTGGCCACCTGATGCGAAGAACTGACTCATTAGAAAAGATCCTGATACTGGGAAAGATAGAAGTCAGGAGGACAGAGAGACAACAGAGGATGAGATGGTTGGATGGCATCACCATCTCGATGGACGTGAATTTGAGCAAGCTCCGGGAGTTGGTGATGGACAGGGAAGCCTGGTGTGCTGCAGTCCATGGGGTCACGAAGAATCAGACATGACTGAGCGACTGAACTGAACTGAATTGAATTAAGCCTGGTTACTTTTTTAAACTTGGACAAAAATAAAAATGCATTTTGAAAAAAGAAATAAGGATAACTATTAAGAAAGTATCTCCTTCCAGATTGTTTAGTCTAACATACTAGAGTAAATCCTTCAAGTTATATAGTTATGCGTATACAGAAAAATATTTTTTCACCACAGTATGCATGTTGCTAAATAATTGATTCTTTAACCCAAAAGTATACTGGAATTATGTACCTGCCAATAAAATATATAGAAAGCCTATATATAGAAGGCCCACTGCTAGGTGGTACAGAAGAGAATGAAGTTGTATACAGTTAACAATTATAAAAGCTGCATGATCTGAGTGCCCTGGGAGAGAAATGAAAGGGCTGGTCTTATTCAGGGAGACTCCTTAGAAGAAGTGGTTTCCAGGAAGCGCTGTAAGTCACAGATGTGGAGGCCTTGGTGAGCGAGGACACAGAGTCCTGAATGGTGCCAGCCCCACATCATACACAACCAGTGATGTGCGTGTCTGAGACTTGCTGGGCCCACATCAGTCACGGCTGGCCAAGGGACAGGAAATTCCTTGCTGGCTCCAGGGGGCTCTGTCCTTGGCTGGGAAGGAGGCCGGGTGGGGCCAGACCCCTTCCTCCTCTTGATGATGGTATTCATTACATGCCTCACCACGCTAGATCCACAAGTCTCTTTCCAGGCTGGCTTAATAAGCCCTGCGGGTGGCTCTGCTGAGACCTGAGCTCCAGCTCAGCCATCCTTCCCAGCCTTGCTGTGCCCCTGGGCTGGACTCTCTCTGCCTTGTGCATGATGGCCAGTGAGGGTCTCGTGGGATGCCAGTGCTTCCCAGTCACTCTGGGGACTCCTTGGAGGACTGAGTGCTTCATTTCCTCAGAAGTCAGGCTCCTGATGCCTTGAATAAGTAACACAACCCAGAAAATTGGCTAGAAGGAATTGAAAAGCCTCTGGCAGGGTCTTCTGGGATGCCAGCTGGGCTCACGACTCAGGGACGTGGGAACTGAGATGCAGGGGAAGAGCCTTGGATGGGGCTCCGGGGAATGACACAGGCTGGCGAAGCTCTGCAGTGCTGCCTGCAGGGTTCTCTGTGTGAAAGGGTGTCTGAGGAACAGGTGAAACCAGAGACTTTGATCCTGGAGAATAGGGTGGGCAGAACCCTACAGCGTTAAGCACCCAGGCAATGGGATCCTTGAACTTTTTGAGAAACCCGGACTCTTTTCCCCTAAGTATCACTTAAGACATTGGATCTTATACTTGACTGCACAGAGGAATCATCTAGAGGAGCTTTTACACATCCTGATGCCCAGGTCACCGCATGTCAATTCAAGCAGAATATAGGGAGGTTGGGGGTGGGAGGGACTCAGGCTCAGCACCTTTTTTATTTTTAAGCTTCTTGGGTAACGTTAATGTGCAGGTAACGTCGAGAACTGATGGTCTAACAGTGGCTCTCTATCTTAACACTGAAGTGTTAGCTGCTCAGGCATGTCTGACTCTTTGTGACCTCATAGACTGTAGAATTCTCCAGGCAAGAATACTGGAGTGGGTAGCCATTTCCGAGACAGTTTCTCCTGTCTTGCAGCGGGAGTTTCAGTTTCCAGTTGCTTTATGATCAGCATTTGGCTTTTCGCCTTTGGGGCCCGCCATGGCGTGATGATGTATTCCATGCTTCCAGGGAAGCGGTCTCACGTTCAAGCCCAACCCTTGGCATGTCAGTGTTTTGCTCTTGAAAAAAGAATCAGCTGGGTCTCAGATGTCAGTTAGAAAAAAAACAAAACAGATTTGTCAACAATGATCTCAAAGCTGCCCATTTGAGGAAGGGCAGGTGCTGCCCTTAGTAGATACTGGAGGACGTATTGAATCTGAGAGGCTGGCCTGTGAGTGACAGGCTTGGGGCTGCTTACTTCATAGAAACCTGGGCCTCAATGATCTCATCTGTGTGATGAGGCGAGAGGGTCTGAGGATCATCAACATCCCCCAGCTTTGTTACCCTGAGACTGTGAAACGAGGTGAAAACCTGCAGAACGGGAAGACGATCTGTAGCCAAGGACATGGACATATCCCCCCCCAGTCGCTGCCTTGTTCTTGACAAAGTCCCTGGAAGCGCTCCTCCCTGGGAGTTCAAGACCTGGCCGTGTGTAGCTCTTACCCAGGAAAGCACCTTCTTGCTCATTGTATTTTTTCAGACCATGGAATGTCAGTGTATGAATGAGTTGGGATTTATATCTGTAGGCTTGGCTGCTGTTTGGAACTCGCTTGGATTTTGAGATATAAATTACACTTGTGTGTTCTGGTCCAGGACACGTGTTATTTATTGTTTGAGCTTGAGGATCACAGAGGATCAGATCTGGGGGACATAGAGTGTCTGTTTCAAGGCTCTATATTTTGCCTGTTCCTTATCCTCTCACACTGGTTTCAGTTGTTTTGAAATAGAGCACCATAAATATGAGTGTGACGCCTGGGGGAGCTGCCCTTGTCCTTGCCTTCCTCCTGGGCGCTGGGTTTACTGTGCCCACGAGGGGTGGGGGCAGGGGGGAGGAGAGAGCTGGAACTGGCTCTTACACACCCTAGGTCTGACCGTGACACCGTACCAAGCTCTCTACACAGGCTGCCAGACCTCTGTTACCTCTTTTTCTATGGAAGGAAACAGAGACAGTTATACATTTGGGATTACCTTTGACAATGCCTTAAATGACCCATAAGGTACAAAGTGTAGAGACTGCTGGATACAGACAGCCCTGTACAAAAATGTGTCCTATAAATGAATGATGCTCAGAGCAGTGCAGGCATGTTGTGAACATAAATGCGGGGAGCATTCTGACAGTATTGTGATAATGTAAAAGAGAGCAAAAGAACACTTCACACCCACTTGAATGGCTATTACTAAAAAATAAAAAAATAAAAAGGAAAATAATAGGCATAGGCTGTATGCAGAGAAATCTGAACCCTTGTGCACTGCTGATGGGAATGGAAAATAGTGCTGCCACTTTGGAAAAGAGAGCTCCCTCAAAAAGCCAAACACAGAATTACTGTATCATGCAACGATTCCTTTTCTAGGTGAAGCTAAGTGAAATCTTAGACATGAAAGGGCAAATTCTAGGATTGATTCCACTCTCATGAGGTCCTACAACAAACAAATTCATAGAGACAGTTAAATAGAGGTTGCTGGGTTGCAAGAAGGAGTGTGGAGTTGTTTAATGGTTTCAGTTTCTGTGGGATGATGAAAACATTCTGGGGATGGATGGTGCTGATGGTTGTACAACACTGTGAATGTACTTGATGCTATGTAAAAATGTTTACAGCGGTGAGTTTTGTATATATTGATCACAGCAAAAAGAGCCAGAGCAACAGGTTGAAGTTGCATCACTTGCCCTGCCTCTTCTTGGGGGGCGTGGACCCCAGCACATCCCACCTCTGCTTCAGCATGGCCCTACTGGGGAGACATCAGTCCCATTTTAGAGGTGAGTAAATAGAGTGCAGGGAATCTGCCAGGTCTGTTATTCTCCTTTTGTTTCTTCCTAACACAGACATACATATTCTCATTTGTATGCCTGCTTACTGTCTGTCTCGCCTCCACTGGGATACACATTCTCTCAAGGCAAGGACTTTGTGGGGTCACTCACCCCCGTATTCCCTGTGTCTGCAGTGGTGCCTAGTACCCATGGATGCTGATACCAAGTGAAGATACATGTAATAGTCGTCTGAGATGGCAGGGAGCAGACAAGGAACAAGTGCCTCTCATCCTTCTGATTCTGCTCCCTGTGTTCTGTCTGGGTGGGTGAGGAGGGACCCCCTGAATGTGAAATCTTTCATGCTCCAAACCAGGATAAACATCCTCTGGAGAGCTGCCCATGAGTAACAGCACCCTTCTGCTAGCTGCAGGGCCTCCCTCTTGGAGTCACCCTCTTCCGGAGCTGGAAGTCTTCCTAGCCTAGCCTCCTGCTTCCCCTTTTCCTGACCCAACCCCAGTTCACCTCGCGACCTAGACAGGGGAGCCCTCTTCTTTTGCTTTGCTCCTGCTGGTTGCAAGCTCTTCTGCCTCCCAGTTCTGGGCCAGCGTGAAAGCTCTCCCTGTCTCTCTCAGGGTGGCTGAGAGCCAGGGCCTGGGGTTCTCTGGGCAGGAGGTGAAAGCTGGCTCCACCTTCAGCCCCTGCACTGGCTTTCTTCTCCCTTCTGTGCTTCTTCTCATCCTTGTAGCTCCCTGGGGCTGAGGTTTTACCTTCACTTTCACTCCTGTCTCCAACATAAGGGCCTGTCCTATCAAAGTTGACGGCAAATCAAATTGTCCCCTGCTGAACAGGAAAAGGCTGTGCCTCACAGACCCCATCCAACCCCTGGTTTTGGGGTGTGTTAGGGGTGGTAGGGCCGGCCTGGGAGGGACAGGTTTGGGATCTGCTTACCTCCTAATGATCTCATCTGTTCAATGAGGTGAGAGGGTCTGAGGGTCACAAACATTCTTCCAGCTCTGACACTCAGGTCGTAAAACAAGGTGACAACATGCTGAGCAAGGGGAAATGATCTGTTAGCAAAGGATTCGAACACCTTTCCTCCAGTCTCTGCTTGGCTGACACCCTGTGTGCAGGGTCACGGGTACTGCCCATTTCTCTGGCTGCTGATACGTAGTCTGTTAGCCATATCCTACTCTTTGCGACTCCATAGACTGTAGTCCACCAGGCTCCCCTGTCCATGGAATTCTCCAGGCAAGAATACTAGAGTGAGTTGTCATTAGTTCTGTTTTAAAACAGCTCAAAGGTGATTTTGGATGCACGCAGTAGTAAGCAGGCAGCTTACAGCAAGAAGCAGCGAGCAGTAGCTGGAAGCAAGACCTTAGTTTTCTGAAACGGGAGTTCTAACTCCTGGACCACAGGGGCCAAGGCCAGCAGCAGTTAGGGTCTGAGTCCCTAGTCCTTGCCTGTTGAGTCANGAAATGCAAACAGGAGGCCAGTTGTAAACATCTAACCTGGAGTCCATCTATCTCCTTCCTCAAAGGGACTCATCTTTTCTCAGTCCTCGTCCCTGGTTTAATCTCCTTCTATGACAACAAAACCTCAGAGCAGACTGTGCTCTAGTTTTCCTTCAGTCCTTCTTGGGTCAGCATGAGCCCTGCTGTTCCCACTTCCCAGCATTGCCCTCATCTACCCACTTCTTACCACCCCCGTGGCTGTGGCAGACCCCAGGGCTGCCCGATTACCCTCTGGTGTGTGCCGTTGACTGCCAGCTGAGCACCCTGCCTCATCTGCCTCCTGCTGACACTCCAGATGTCAGGATGTACAGCTACAAGGTCGTTCAGACACAGAAGGAACCACACCACTCTGCAGTGTAAAGATCAACAATTCTTACAGGTACACAGGGCTCTGGGGCAATAGTGTGGCTAGCAGGTAAATGATTAAAAACAGCTTTTCAGTAGGATGGCACTTATTTGTAGCATTTGCCAATTTCTGTAGTGTAAATACTCCCATAGTGGATGATTTCAATCTACTGACAAGATGTTACTGATGGCAGTGCTAGGAAGAGATACACACAGCACACTATTATATGTGCACTAAATGATTTCAAGAGCAGAGGTAAGAGTAAAATGTAATATATTAATTAGGCCCTGATGAGTTTTGAATATTTATTACATTTTACTACATGATTTATTTACTTGATGGTTTTGTTTAATGATGAGCTCTTAAAATACTTGAAAATTGAATAACCAGCTCTCACAAGACTACATGCATTGATTTCAGCACATAACTGGAAACTATATTAAAAGTAAAAATGGAAACTAACCAAACAAAAGAATCCTTGAGCGCAGCAAGGTGATTGATGTGCACAGCAGTTACACTGTTTCCTGGGAGTGCAGGGCATTAGAAGAGGCATGGGAGATTGATGAGTAGAAGAAACGGAAGAAAGAGCGAGTGGTCTGTCCCTCCTCCACTCATTTTCTTTTGAAGTCTGTATCCAGGAGTGCTGTGCTGTTCACAGAATCAGAATAGGCTGGTGACCTTCATACCCACTCAGGGAGCTCAAGCAGGATTGTTGTTCAGTTGCCATGTCATATCTGACTCTTTGAGGACACGGACATGGACATGGAGTTTGTGCAAGCTCATGTTCATTGGCTCAGTGATGCTATCCAACCATCTCATCCTCTGTCACCCCCTTCTCCTTTTGCCTTTAGTCTTTCCCAGCATCAGGGTCTTTTCCAGTGAGTAAGCTCTTCGAATCAGGTGACCAAGCATTGGAGCTCCAGCTTCAGCATCAGTCCTTACAATGAATATTCAGGGTTGATTTCCTTTAGGATTGACTGGTTTGATCTCCTTGCTGTCCAAGGGACAAGAGTCTTCTCCAGCACCAAAATTCTTCACTGCTCAGCCTCCTTTATGGTCCAACTCACATCCTAGAAAAGTCATAGCTTTGATTAGACTGACCTTTATTGGCAAAGTGAAGTTTCTGCTTTTTAATATGCTGTCTACGTTTGTCATAGCTTTCCTTCCAAGGAGCAAGGGTTTTTTAATTTTATGGCTGCAGTCACCATCTGCAGTGATTTTGGAGCCCAGGAAAATAAAATCTCTGAATGGAAATCACTTCATATCTCACAAGGAGGGGCTTGTGCACACTTGGTAAAGCTGTGCTCCGATTTGGATCCAGAGGGAAGTAAGTGCTGGAGGCACCAGAGGCACCCTATTCAGAGTCTGCGTGGGAACACACCCTTAGCAAGTCTCTGGCAAAGAATTCAACTCTGAGACCGAGGGTTGGGGATGTAGGATTAGACATGGACCCCACTTTGTACCTTATAACCCAGGCCCCCTCTTCCTAGGCTTCCCAGGTGGTGCTGGTGGTAATGAATCCACCTGCCAGTGCAGGAGATGCAAGAGATGTGGGTTTGATCCCTGGGTTGGGAAGATCCCCTAGAGAAGGAAATGGCACCCCACTCTAGTATTCTTGTCTGGAAAATTGCCATGGACAGAGCAGCCTGGTGGGCTCTAGTCCTTGAGGCCACAGAGGGTCAGACACGACTTAATGACTGACCACACCCTTTTCCCACCCAGATAAAGAACTCCATTCAGTTCCTAGGCCCATGATCCTTGTAGACAGAGCTATAAAAGATTTCTTTAGATTGAGGCACAACCAATATACAGTAAAATGGAAGATTTTAAGTTTTCAGTTTGGAGAATTTTGATAGTCAAAATTATTTGTGTGACCATCACCTAAAACAAAGGGTAGAACATTTTCAATTTTCAAGAGAGCTCCCTTTACCTCCCCACTCAACCACCCAACCACTGTGTTTATAGAGATTGTCCATAGAGGTCAGTTTGCCTGCAAAAATTAGTTTTGATTATTCTGGACTCATAAGGTATGTATCTTTTTTGTGTCTGGCTTCTTAAAAATTTAAAATTCATCTGTTTGGATTTTTATATCCATTTTTATTATACCAGCACTCATTTATTCAACTACCTGTAATTTCCAGATTTTTTTTTCTATTAGGAAGAAAGCTACAATGAACATTTAAATACAGTTCTCTTTTGTAGATATAGGTATTTATTTCTTGTGGTAAATACCCAAGTGGAATAGCTGAGTCATGGGGTAGATGTATCTTTAACTTTATAGAAACTAACAAACAATTCTTTTTAGTGGGTGTGGCAATCTACACTTACAGCTTTGTAGGAGAAATCTGGATGGGTCTGATTTTAGTCACACTATGGGGAGTGGTCTTCCCTGGTGGCTCAGATAGTAAAGAATCTGCCTGCACTGTGGGACACCTGGGTTTGATCCCTAGGTTGGGAAGATCTCCTGGAGAAGGACGTGGCAACCCACTCCAGTATTCTTGCCTGGAGAATCCCCATGGATACAGGAGTCTGGAGGGCTACTGTCCATGGGGTCGAAAACAGTCGGTCATGACTGAGTGACTAAACACAGCACTGCACATCACAGCATGGGGTGTGAAATAGAATGTCATTGTGGAGAGTTTTAACTTGTACTTGTTTGGCATTTTCACATTTTCTTCCTGAAGCTCACAACCTCCTCTACCTTTAAGTTTGAGGATGTCTTGGGGGTGTTTGGGCTTCGTCGGTGGCTCAGATGGTAAAGAATCTGCCTGCGAAGCAGTAGACCGTGGTTTGGTCCCTGGATCGGGAAGATATCGTAGAGAAGGGAATGGCTGACCACTCCAGTATTCTTGCCTGGGGAATTCCATGGACAGGGGAGCCTTGGCAGGCTATAGTCCATGGGATCTGAGCTATTCACATCTGAGTGACTAACACTTCTCTTCTTTTTGGGAGTGTTTATAGACCAGGAACCAGGTGGTCATAGACAGTACTTTGCTCAGGTGATACTTGACAGTGTAGGTTTTCAAGCCTGGCTCTGACTGTGTTTACAATCAAAAATAGACTTGATCTTTGTCCCTGGCTCCTGGCACAGAGCTCCTAAAACCTTAGAAATTTCCTTAGTGATAGGAGTGCTTAGTCGCTCTGTTGTGTCCAACTCTTTGCAACCTCATGGACTATAGCCCGCCAGGCTTCTCTGTCCATGGGGATTCTCCAGGCAAGAATACTGGAGTAGGTTGCCATGTCCTCCTCCAGGGGATCTTCCCAACCCAAGGATCGAACCCAGGTCTCCTGCATTGCAGGCAGATTCTTTACTGTCTAAGCTACCAGGGAAGCCCCTTAGTGGTGAAAGTGAAGTTGCTCAGTCGTGTCTGACTCTTTGCAACCCCCTGGACTGTAGCCTACCAGGCTCCTCTGTCCATGGGATTTTCCAGGCAAGAGTACTGGAGTGGGTTGCCATTTCCTTCTCCAGGGGATCTTCCCAACCCAGGGATTGAACCCAGGTGTCCCGCATTGTAGGCAGTGGTAGAAGTATCTTATTATTCATAACAAGGTGGCCCTTTTGGCCACCCCTGAGTTTATGCTAATTAATTGATTCTTGGTTGGCTCCAGAGAGCTTCAAGATGGTGACTGGTTGCCAGAGGAAACAACCACGTGATTATAGGAGTAAATTCCTAACCTCAACTTCTGACCTTTGAGTAGGGGAGAGGGTCTGGGGGTTGACTTCAATCAGTGATGACCACAATTTAATCAATCATACCCATATGAAAAAAAACAAGTTGGATTAAAAACTCTGAAGAAATGAGGTTAAAAGATCTTCTGGGTTGGTGAACACATCTGGGTGTGGGGAAGGTGGCACACCCAGAAAAGGTGTGGGAGCTCAGTACAGCCTCCACCCCACACCTTGCCTATGCCTCTCTTCTGGTCAGTTATTCATTTGTATCTTTTTAAATAAAGTTGTACTTGTAAGCAGAGTTACTTTCCTGAGTTTGGAGACTCCTTCTAGCAAATTATAAACCCGAGGGTGTCAGGGGGACCCTGATCCGTAGTTGGCCAGGTAGAAGGGTGGGTCTGGGGACTTCATTTGCAGCTGGCATCTAACATGGGGACAGTCTTGTGGGATGTCCCTTGACATCCCTTGACATGTGGGATCAGCATCAGGTCTGGGTTGTTAGTGTCAGAATTGAGTTGAATTGTTGGACTCTCAGTTGGTATCAACCAATCAGAGACCTGGTGTTGGAAGGATGTACGTGACATCAGAAAAAACCCCGTACAGGCTGACTCTTGGCTACCTGATGCTGCTGCCCCCCCTCCATTTTTGGTGGGCATATTGTACTAGAGTGCCCTTTTTACAGTGGGACTTGTTGGTATTAGAACCAAAGAGTGACAAGACTGCCCTCCTCTGAGCCATGTGAACGTGCTGATGCTTGTGTTAAAACAGCAGAATCGTGACATCCCTGGGGATTTTCCAGACACTATTTATCAGGCTTCTCAGGACAGACTCTAACCAAGACTGAATTCCAGAACGTGTCACAGAGTTCAGAAGGGGAAGCAGACAGCATAAATTATCAACTGTGAGTTGAGGGAGATGACATGGAGAAGTCTTCTAAGAGTACTTTAATGGAAATAGAAATTTCATCAGTGAACAAGACTAATGGCAGTAGAGTCATTATTAGGGACATTTAATGAATTTTATTATGTTTTGTGCATTTTAAAATACTAAGAACAGGAAAAGAGGGATACAATTTTTTGTCTCTCATTATTAGTTGTACATAATAAAAATATCCATTAATGTTGTTGGGACTATTTGCTAGCTTTATCTTTATCAGAAGTGATGTTTTCCCAGAGTGTCTAAGACTTTTTCTTTCATACTGTGTGGTCGAACCTGGAGTACACTGCAGTTTAGACTCTGAAGCTGACTTTATCACGAGGATATCTGGGTACTAACACTAACCTGTGAAGACAGTCCTTGCCATTATCTGTCCATGAAAACCTCTGGGGAACTCCTGAGACCTTGAGACCACCCAGCTGCGTGAGCACAGACTGTGGAGAGCCAAGCGGTAGAGAACTTTTAGTTCCATGTGGTTTTATAAGAAGTGGCCCCACACATCCTCTCTTTTCACCACAAGTTAGGAGATGAGGGGCTCAGTCCTGGAGAGGTGCAATACCTGCATAAGTCCAGCTGGTCCCTGGCAGGAGGAGAACGCCATCTCCTTGGACTTTAGGTTGCAGGGCAATGCCTCACTTCTGGAGAGAAAGGAAGGGGAGAGAGAGAGTGATGGAAAATATAAGCTCCAGTCCACTGAGCCTTCACCATGCGTCAGCGCTCTGTCAATACTTCGTGCATCCATAGCCCTAAGGAGAGAAGGCTGAGCCTGGGAAAGGTGAAGTGAGCTCTCCAGTGTCAAAGGTCAAGCAAGTGGGCATCTGCCATGTGATCTGACTGTACAGCAACCCAGTGTTGTAAATGTTGCCCTCCTCCTTGTTCAGAGTCTCACTTAGCCCCATTGTTCAGATGATGATGTGATTTTGGGGTCTTCTTGGTGTCAGTATTACAGAATCCATTGGCAGCTCATTTTTAGGCTGGTCCCTGGTTACCCAGGTGGTACTAGTGGTAAAGAACCCACCTGCCAATGCAGGAGATGTAAGCAATGTGGGTTCAGTCGATTCCTGGGTGAGGAAGATACCCTGGAGGAGGACATGGCAACTTACTCCAGTATTCTTGCCTGGAGAATCCCATGGACAGAGGAGCTTGGCAGGCTGTGGTTCATAGGGTTGGACATGACTGAAGTGACTTAGCACTGGTCACCCAAAGACTGCTTCCCAGTTGTCTTTGTGGGGGACACCCAGGCTCACCCTGAATCAAATGCTTCCATTTTCTTTGGTCTTCACTGTAGCTCTGAAGAGGGGACACATACACACAGTCACTACTAGGGTGGCCTTGTCCAATCCCACCTGTTAGGCACCTCCAGCATCAGCAGCTTCCCCTTGGTCTGGTCAGTGGCTGTTTTCCAGTGGCTGAAGAAATAGGTGTTGTCTGCTTTATCACATGTTCTGTGTCTTCCCAGATTTCCTGTGCCGCTCATGGGCCTGGGAACTGTGCAGTCACCCAGACCCAGAGAAGTCTTCCAGCTTCAGGCAGACAGCAAGGAAGAAAACATCCCTGGACCATCATTGAGCCTTTCTGGCTCCTGGACCCTGGCATCAGAGCAAACCTGCATTTTACAAGACTTTCCTCGCTTTGGCCTTAAACCTGCAAATCTAGGGAGAGAAACCGTGGATTCACATGGACTTGGAGGCCAGAGCAAGTAGTAGGTGAAGTTTTCACATTTCACACTTGCTTTCTTTGCTCAACTTTTGTCTAACACCCTGACCAGGAGCCTGGTGGTGGGCTCATCTTCCACACCCAGTTCTTTCCTGGCTGCCTTATTCTTTATTTTTTTTCATTTTTTAATTGGATTTGTAAAAAACTGTTTGGTTATCTTTTTCCTTGGTCAAGCCACACAGCACGTGGGATGTTACTTTCCCAACCAGGGATAGAACCCACAATCCCTTTATTGGAAGTGGCCTTAACCATTGTATCATCAGGGAAGTAACTTTCCTGGCCTTCTTAATAGCCTTTGATCCAACCCCTTCTCAGCACAGTCAGCTGCTCCTGCTTCAGCTCAGGCAGTAATCATTTCTCACTGTGGCAACTGGAACAGCCTCAGACAGGGTCCCCTGTGGCCCGTGGCCCTGTGCTCCAACACAGGGCCTGGGTGTGTCTTGGGTGTCCTGTGTGTCTTGCCCTCTCTCACTCACGTGGCGAGAGTTCTGTGGTTGGAAGTAACAGAGACCTATTCTGGTAACTTAAACAGAAGAAGATGCATAGGAGGGGTGTGTGTTTGCCCATGGGATGGAAGGGAGGGCTCGCGGAGCAGGCCTGGAGCAGGCAGATGTCCAGGGTCTCAATGGAGAGAATTAATCACTGCTCTCTACTTTACTTTTGCAAATCAAATGTTCACCACAGTTGCCAACTTTCAGAGAGTGTCTGGGGGAGGGAGTGGAGCATGGCTGAAGGCACCCAGGGCCCTGAGAGAAGGATCTGGGAGTAAAGAATGAGGTGATGAGTGTATCTTTGGGAGTAAAATAAAATCAAAGCTCAGAGGGCCATGCAAATCAGTCATCACTTCGAAGAAGAAGAAGAAGGGAGGCAGGGAGGAAGAGGGAGGGACGGAGGAAGGACAGGGAAGAGAAAGGGGAGACAAAGAAGGCAAAAAGATAAATGCAAAAGGAAGGAAAAAAGGGGAGGAGAGTGGAGAAAAGAGGATCTCTGAGACTTGAGACAGTGGTCAGAACCCAGGAAACCAGCCAGGTGTCAGAGATTTGAGGCTGGGAGGTGGCTCCTGGGGAAATTCCTTGAGCTGCAGAAATGGGCCTCTGGAGCTCTGGGTGGGGTATTTGGGGCCTCAGGGGTGGTTAGGAAGAGATTGTTTAAGGCCACCTGCCGGAGGCCATGCTGGGCATAAGTAGGGCAGGAGGTGAGTCACAGCCCTGTCCTCAGTGCCCACAGGGAAGCAGGACCCCGAGATCAGCTGAGAGAGTAACCAGGGACAGGAGAGGATGCAAACAGCTAAGTCTTGGAGCACGAGGCTGTCTTCGGTCCTCGGCAAGGTGGGTGTCCCCTGACCTCCTCACAGAGGAGAGAGATCAGACTTAGAGATCAAGAGCCATCATCAGCACCACACAGCTGGCGCCCCTGGGATCTGGAATCTGGATGCAGGGTGTCTGCTCCAACAGCCCATGTGCTCTCCTCTGCATCTCACCTGCAGCCTCACCTGCAGCCTACCTGAGACCCAGGGAGGCGAACGGCGTGGCTTCTTGGTTAAGGGGTGTTTGTGCTAGGCAGGGCTGCACTGCACAAAGGCAGCTGTCCCTACCCCACTCAGATGCACCCGGGCTCCTTCTCAGATGTTCCTTCTCTGCAGTTAAGTGCGCAACATGGAAAATGGTGGGGGCATCCCTAACTCCTCCAAGCTGGCCTTTCAATGTCACCAGGCTGCTCCCTCCCAAGTTTCAGTACATTTTCCAGCTGTTGATTGCTCCAGGGCTTGCAGGAGTGGGTCCTGTGACCTGGCTGTTTTCTCAACCCAGCAGGATCACAAGGGCTTGTTTTGTTTTTCTGCTGCTGCTAGGAACTCAAACCTTGCTGTGGGGCATCTTATTTTGCCTTCCAAGCACACTTGTTTTCTCCCGTCCCCAGGCCTGCTTCCACTCTCATACCTTTCAATATGCCATCTGGAAATCCTTGAACCATTCTAAAAGACAAGGGACCTCCTTCCCTGGAATTCGCTGCTTGTTTCCTAATTAGGAGTCAGTGGCTTGAATATAAACGAATCATTAGATCCATTAGAAACGCCAAGTTCAGATGGTTGTGAGTTTTCATTTAGATATTTTCTGCTTCTTGGCCCAGCCCAAACAAGCACTCCAGCATTCCCCAGTTACTTTGTTTCTCATGGTCAGATAGATGACTTTTCTCCTATAATTCATAAATCAGGCCTCACTGGGGTTTCAGTGAATTCTTTGACTATTGCTCTGATTAATCAGGGAATTGTATGCTTTTCTTTCTTTTGGAGTGATCCTTTCTAAGGACCGAATTTTCGTATGTCCTTGAATATAAAAATGAACCTAGACTTGAAGACACAGGGCATGAGCATTCCCACAGCTGGGGAGGGTCTCCTTTCCCTGCAGGAGAGCTGAAGCTCTGGGAACTAGAGCCAGGAGCAGTCACCCTGGTGGTCATGCACTCACTGGGGGTGGCTATTTGAGTAAAGCCTTTCCACCTGGAAGATGACCATGACCTGCAGTGGGCAGGGCAACAGCAGCAGAAGCAGCAGCAGCAACAACAACAAACAGCAAGACCACGTCACAGGTCCTTGAAGTTACTTGATCAAGCACTCCCTTAATGTAAGTAGATGTTCAAAAACAAGAGCAAGACAACCAACCAGGCAGAACTCCCTCCACACACGGGGTGGACAAAATGTGGGTGAAAATAGGATACAAACGATGACCTCTCTGTCCCTGGAGATGCTGCCACGGTGCGGACTGGTGGAACACACAGCCCCTCTGGGTCAGGGATGACTCCCCCAGCCTGCAGGGTCTCTCTGTGTCCCCGACCCTAGACAACAATTCAGGATCCTTTCTTTCCCCATTCACTAGACCACTGTAAGTGAGATAGAGGAATGGTTATGAACACTTTATGCCATATTTTTACCTTTGTGACATATTACATCATCCATGCCAGTTGAGTCTGAGATTTCTTTGGATCACATGTCCTATGCGTATTGAACAGTGTGAGAAGTTCCATCTTAATAATCCCTTGCAAAGCCCCCTGTGGGGCACACAGGGACAGGAATGTCAGTCCTATTTCCTGATGAAGAAATAAAGGTTCAAATGGGTGATTTGACCTCTCCAAATCACAGATTCCTCCAAGAGCCGAGCCTGTTCTTAAACTTGGATCTTCTGCCTCCAAGTTTAAGGCCATGTCCATTCATTAATCACCAGAAAGAGAGTTAGTCTGAATCTTAGAGTTGATTTTTGAGTCTTTGATCATTGGATACAATGGGAATTATAGCTTCATGGGGAAGGCATGTAGTTCTGTTTTGCTGAATAAGCTGGCCATGTTTCCAGCAGTAACACTGGCTGAGGGACAAGTGGGGGCCAGGTTGAGAGTGGGGGTGGGGAGCTGCCTTTGAGACTATGCCAGTGACCCTTATTATACTTATGCGTATGAGCCCACCCAAAAGAACACTGCCTTCTAGCCACCCTAGTCAGAATCCGCTAAGACGGGGCTTCCTTGGTGGCTCAGCCAGTAAAGAATCTGCCTGCAATGCAGGAGGCCTGGGTTTGATCCCTGGGTGAGGAAGATGCCCTGGTGAAGGAAATGTCTACCCACTCTAGTATGCTTGCTTGGGAAATCCCATGGACAGAGGAACCTGGTGGGCTACAGTTCATGGGCTCAAAACAGTTGCACACAACATAGAAACTAAACCACCAGCCACCAAGACTACTGGTTCCTTAGCACCCAAAGCAGCTTTTCTTGGTGGAATGCAAGCAGTTCCCTGCCTGGGGCCCTGCCAAGGCTTGGCAGAATTAAATGTGACATTCAGTTCCAGATTAAACAAGTTGGAACAGTTTTGCTGAAGGTGTAGATTTTTATTTGTTTTTTTGTTTGTTCACTTACTTACTGAGACCTTACTTTAATGACCTGGTTTTGGATTTCTGCATGAAAGATGCATAAGCACAATGAGTATTATTTTTATGATGGATGTTCATAATGATTATACTAACAATGGCACCTTCTATTTCTTTAAAGTTTGTTTCTTCCTTTTAAGCTTCATGCCAGGAATTTGGGATGGAATTCAGGGTTTCCTAGAACTTCACAGGGTGAAGAGAGTGTCTTAGCTGCTCCCTGAATCCTCTCTATGAAATTCCTACCAAAAGTCCTGCAGCTTGGACTCCCCCAACTCATGAGGAATTTTCTACTTTACAGAGCAGCCCATTTCCCCCTCCAGCTGCGCTGTCTGAATGTCTGTCTTGAACAGATTCAACAGATGTAAAAACTTGAGTGGAAGTGTTATTAGGTTTGTGTTTTCACAAGTCTACCAAGTGATTCCCAAGCAGGCTAAAGTTTGAGACCCACTTCTCTACAGCACACTGTCTTTCTGATAATAAGTGTGATAGTTACTTTTATGTGGCAACTTGGCCGAGCCATGGTACTTAGTTGTTTGGTTAAAAATGAATCTAGATTTTGCTGTGAAAGTTATCTTAATCAGTAGACTTCGGGTAGATAAGACTGTTGTTCAGTCGCTAAGTTGAGTCTGACTCTTTGTGACCCTGTGGGCTGTAGAACACCAGCTTCTTGTCCCCCACTATCTCCCAGAGTTTGCTCAGATTAATATCTATTAAGTCAGTGATACCATCTAACCATCTCATCCTCTGCCACCCCCTTCTCCTTTTGCCTCCAATCCTTCCCAGTATCTGTCTTTTCTAGTGAGTTGGCTCTTCACATCAGGTGGTCAAAGTTTTGGCTTCAGGATCAGTCCTCCCAGTGAATATTCAAGGTTGATTTCATTTAGGATTGACTGGTTTGCTCTCCTTGCTGTCCAAGGGACTCTCAAGAGTCTTCCCCAGCACCACAGTTTCAAAGCATCAGTTCTTTGGCTCTTTGCCTTCTTTATGGTCCAACTCTCACATCTGTACTTGGCTACTAGAAAAACCATAGCTTTGACTATATGGACCTTTGTTGGCAAAGTGATGTCTCTGCTTTTAATATGCTGTTTAGGTTTGTCATAACTTTTCCTCCAAGGAGCAAATGTCTTTGAATTTCATGGCTACAGTCACCGTCTGCAGTGATTTTGGAGCCCAAGAAAATCTGTCACTGCTTTCACTTTATTCCCTTCTATTTGCCATGAAGTGATGGGACCTGATGCCATGATCTTAGTTTTTTGAATGCAGAATTTCAAGCCAGCCTTTTCACTCTCCTCTTTCACTTTCACCTAGAGGCTCTTCAGTTCCTCTTCACTTTCTACACTCTTCATAATGTGTGTGGGTCTCATCCAATCACTTGAAGGGCTTACGTCCCCCAGGCTTCCCAGGTGGTGCCAGTGGTGAAGAACCCTCCTGCCAATGCAGGAGACTCAAGAGATGTGGGTTCAATCCCTGGGTTGGGAAGATCCCCTGGAGAAGGGAATGGCAGCCCATTCCAGTATTCACGTCTGGAGAATCCCATGGACAGAAGATCCTAGTGGGCTACAGTCCATGGGGTCACAAAGAGTTGGACAAGACTGAAGTGACATGGCACACAGCATGCATGTCCCCTGGGTAGGAAGGAATTCTGCCTCTGGAGCTCAACTGCAGCATGAACTCCTGCCAGAATTTCTCCTCTGCCAGCCTGCCTTGTAAATTTCGAACTTGACAGCACCCACAATCATGTGAACCAATTGCTTAAAAACCCCTTCTCTCCTCCCCTCCTCTGCCCCTTTCCCTTCCCTTCTCTTCCTCTCTCTCATTTTCTCTCTTTGTCCAGCCTATCGGTTCTATTTCTCTGGAGAATCCCAACCAACACAAACTGCGTTAGAATCCACTGTGCAGTCTTTCTCTCTTAGCCCAAACCTGGTGGCAGTCTTCCTCACTGTAAGACTTGGGACAGCCTTTTTATTAGGCAGGAGTTACTACAGGCATGGAATTTAATAGCGATCCAGGATTTAAAATATTAACTAGAAACTTAAACTTTTGTGGGTAGATTTGGCAGAAACCATTTGATTTTGGGTCATTCCTTGGAAGCTTCTTTATTGAAAAAAAAATTCTAGCTTTCAGTGAGGACTTTAAAACCAGATGGATATAAATTGGAATCCCCACCATTACTATTCACTAAACACCTCAGGCAAGTCACTTAACATATGTGAGTCACATTTTCCTCATCAGTGAAACAAGGTTACTAAGGTTATTTTTTTCCTTCTGTGGCTTTAATGAAGCTTCTAGGTAGCATATCCAAAGTGCCAATTTATGGCAAGCTTATGGTTGGCTTTCAGGGTGAGTGGGAGCTATTACACTTTTAGCTTGTTGCTTCTAACAGTGGAGGTAAACTAGAAAGACATTACAGTCGACTGGGAGTTTAGGTAACTGTTCTCTGGTTAATCCTGGATTTATTGAAATGTAATTTATTTCTCTTACCTTGTTGCATTTACTAGAACCTCCAAAGAAATGAGAAGTTATAAGAACAGACATTCTTGTCTTGATCTT